ACTGTGTGGAGGGAAAACCAGTGTTAAATAAACATGCCACAGTCTCCAGTTGTCCCCTTATTTATTGACTATATTAACAGTGTATTTGGATTACAATACAAAGACGCCCCATCTTGTTGTGCAGCTCCTTTGTGCGAGTGCCATTCTGCCTCAGTTTCCCTGTCTGTTAAAAGGGAAAAGTGTTGTCTGAGGGGCCGGTGTTACTGTTGTCTGATGGGACAACAGTAAAACAGAACAGTCAGAAGTGTTGTCTGATGGGAAGTGATGTCTGAGGAACCACGGTTACTGTTAAAATGGCAATAAAGAGTAACAACCAAACAAAAAATTAGAGACTCCAGAGGGTGGGGAAATGACCCAAGCACACCACAGAATGAAACAAGCAGCAGTCACTTCAGTTAATAAGATAAGAGACAAGAAACGGAAACCACCAAAAAAAACCACTCAAGAATGGAGGTGATGAGCCGTTAGCAGGAAATACAAGACCCAGTAGTTCAGGCACTAGAATCTATGACAATGCTGCGCATATGAAGAAGTGCTAAAATGTGCCTGTCACTCAGCAGGTGAGAGACAGCATTGCATGCTGACTGTAGTTCCACCGAGCATTGGGTGTGTCGCCTCCAAGTGAAATGTCACCATTGTAATTTAAACCCCTATAAAAAGAAATGGGAATAATGAACGTGCAGGCATGGCCTGACTTCTAGATGGCAGGGAAGGAGAAATCATTTGTGTTTTGCAATCTGCATGCAGCTTCCAGAGGCTAAGTATCCCAAATTAGCTATTCTGCATCTTTTGAGCAAGCCCGTTATTTCGAAATATAACAGGCTCACTATTCCGACATCCGTGTAAACCTCATTCCACCAGGAGTAAGGAACAATTCTGAATAGCGCTGTAGACAGTGCCAAATTTTGAAATAAGCTATTTTGAAATTAATTCAACAAAAGTGATGCAATTTGCGTAGCTCAAATTGCATAGCTTATTTTGAGCTCCAGGTGCAGTGTAGACGCACCCACAGAGTGGTAGGGAACAACAGTTTCAGATTGGTCCAAGTGAATCACAGCTTGTGCAGGGTGACTCGGAGCTAGTGAAATACAAATACATAATAATAATAATAATTAATAGTAGATTATTTGATTGTTACTAATGAGTAGTAGATATCTCCACGAAGCCAGGATCAGTTTGCGAATACTTCAAAAACAGGAATTTGCAAAAAGTAGTATTGACAGTTAATAATTTGCTCAGCTGTGCTCAGATGCTGTAATGATTCTGCAAGATAATGAACACCTGTTTGTGCGTTGCGGGGGTTCCATGTTTTGTGAGCCAGGACCTGACTTTGAGGATTTGATGCAATTTTCTGTTCAATGTTCTGTTCAGACATTTGTTCACATCAGCTCAAACTCTTGTTCTGGAAGGCCTGATGGAATAGGCTATAGGTATCTGGAAGCGTGAAACACTAGTGAGGCAAGAAATACTATGAGAGTTGTTTTCCTTGGGATATATTGGGCACTTCTGTAGCCAGTCCCAGCTGGACCCCAGTGAAAACTAAGTAGACATGTTGAACCTCTAACAAAGATCACTCTGAGGTTATGTCTATACTATGGGGTTTTTTCAGAAGAGGTAATGCAAATGAAGAGTTCATTATCAAATTCTCATATTTGCATATCTCATGCTTTCATTTGCATATTTTCTTCTGATCCTTTTTACAGAAGAGGTTTCGCGCAAAAAAAAAACAGTGTAGACGGGTTCATTTTACGCAAAAAAAAAAAACTTTTGCGCAAGATCGTGTATAGCTCCTTTTTTGAGGCATAAGGGATCTTGTGCAAAAGGGTTTGGGGTTTTTTTGCGCAAAATGGACCCGTCTACACTGCTTTTTTTTGTGCAAAAACCTCTTCCGCAAAATGGATCAGATGAGATTATGCAAATGAAGCACAAGAAAATGCTAAATACTAATGAGTGCTTCATTTGCAATGCCTCTTCTGCAAAAAAAGTAGTGTAGACATAGCCTGTTATCTAGTTTGAGTGAAAATTGGAAAGGATGGCTTTTAAGTTTCCCGAACCTGTTCCCCCAGCTCAAAAGATTGGCTAGCACATGACTTCCTTACAGCAGTCTGTCACCGGGCATCTGGGATAGACCCTCCCCCCTGCAAATGCCACACTCAGGTCAGACAGCAAGAAACAGGACAGGCTATCCCCAGAAACGGGGGGTTAGTCTATAATTCGATTCACCAAATCACTAACAAAAACTTCTGTATCACCACACTAGTGAATAAGAAGCCTTTAGGCATTCCCACCTTTGGTTCCCCAGCAAACAGACATGTCTAATATAGTGAGAGGTTACTGAAAATCCAATTCCACATATGTGAGATTTACCATTCCCAAATGATCAGACACTTACCCCAGATATATTTCAGCTCTTACCCAAATATCACACTGCCTGCCAATCCTTAGTAAACTAAAGATTTATTAATCAGAGAGTTGTTAAATGGTGGAAAGATTATATCCATTACAAACATATGCAAGGTTCTTATAGCAGATTTGTAGCAGTGATGGTTGCAAAAGTCTCTCTGGGAATATCCCAAAAGGTTAGCATCCAAGGGCAGTTCAGATGCAGAGTCTGTTAAAATCCGTCCAGGCATTTTCCAGGGCATTCTAAGTGACTAGTTGGAAGATCTCTGTCCCTCGTCTAAAACTATCCCTGTTCAAAGTTCAGCAGAGTAGAGATGCAGGATATTATGTCCAAAGTTCAGTATTTATAGCTTTCTAGCAGGCTGACAAGACATTGTCACTGTGAGGTTTTCCTCCAGAGAAGAATACGAAATGCAGACAGTTTGTGGACTTTCATTGTTAAATTATGACCCTTACTTTGAAGTTAACTCCCATTTCCTATGCATCTACAGGTAAACTAGTTACACACATTTGCATAAGGCAATAAGCCAATCCTTCGTTATAGCAGAGATCAATAAATTGAAGACAATATGGCTGCGTCTACACTGGCTTGATTTTGCGCAAATGCTTTTAACGGAAGAGTTTTTCTGTTAAAAGTATTTGCGCAAGAGAGCGTCTATACTGGCATGTGCCTTTGCGCAAAAGATTTGCTTTTGCGCAAAAGCATCTGTGCTAGTGTAGATGCTCTCTTGTGCAAGAAAGCTCTGATGGCCATTTTAGCCATCGGGCTTTCTTGTGCAAGAAATTGATGTTACCTGTCTACACTGGCCTCTTGCGCAAGAACACTTGCGCAAGAGGACTTATCCCTGAGTGGGAGCATCAGAATATTTGTGCAAGAAGCACTGATTTTGTACATTACAACGTCAATGTTCTTGCGCAAATACTAGCAGCCAGTGTAGACAGGCTTGCCAATGTAGACACATAAGTAATATGATTAATTCCCTGTAGTGTCACATCTTTGATCTAAAGGTTAACTGATCACAGTTGTGTAGGTAATTAAGACATGAAAAGGCTTTAGCATCTACAAGGTAAATTGGTTAGTTTGGTAAACTTCTAACAGGATAGAAGTAAACACAGACACATATACTTAGCAGCTATTCTTTGCTTCATATCAGTGCAAAGAGAATGAGTTGGGGATTGCTAGCCTGTTTAACCTCTCTTTGATATCCATACCTAAGCAGATTGTTTGGATTACAATTGCAGTGCATCTTTCTAAGTTGCTGTAGGTCATACGCAGGTTAGACGGTTTGCCAGCACCACAGTATCCAGAAATTCTTTCCCGTCCAGAACACACGTAAAGCACATGGGACCCCCTGCGGATGGCTGGAGTTTTTATATCTATCACTCCAGCAACACTCCCGTTGATTGGAATGTTTTTTTTCCTTGAGTAAAACAGAAGGCGGGGTGTATAAGTTAGGCCCTGGAAGGTGGGTACAATGCTGAACGCCATCACAAACCTTTTTTATAACTGTCATCTAGGACATAGTTCTTCCTTTAGCTCTCCATCTGCACAGTGGGAACAGTATTGTTTCTCCCATCTTTTTAGATCAGGGATGGGCAATAATTTTTGATGGCGGGTGGGGGGCACTACAGGAATTTGGTAAGTGGTCAAGTGCTGCACCCTTCCATGATATTAGTGGAGGAGGTGTGTGGTCTGGGATGAAGGTTAGATGCAGAAGGGAGCTTGGGGTAAGGGACTGGGGTGAGGGATCTAGGAGGGATTTGGGATGAAGAAGGGGGATGTGACCTGGAGCCAGGGACTGGGATGCAGGGGTCTGGGTTGTGACCTGGGCCAGGGGATTGGGGTGCAGGGCCTGGGAAGGAGTTTGTGTGTGGGGGGGTAGTAGGTTTGGGTTATGTGGGGTAGTGGGGCAGGAGTAGGAAGGCAGAGGGTTGGAGGGAGGAGGGGCTGGGGTGCCAGAGGCAGGCTTTGGCCAGGAGATGCTTACCTGGGCAACTCCCAGCCAGCAGCCCATCAGGTTTCCTGCCTTCCATGCTCTGGCAGGCCGCTCAGAGCAGCCAGCTGCTGGGCCAGGTGAGCCTGTGAACTGCTGCGAACCCATAGGGAGGGGGAGGAGCACTTTGCATGCTGCCTGTTCTTCAAACAGGCAGCTCCCATTGGCTGGAGCTGCAAGACTATGTTGGTGGCAGGGGCAACACACAAAGCCTCTGCCCCGTCCTCTCATGCTCAGATTTGTTCACAGACAAACAGGGCCCCACAGCCGACTTTTCTGAGCAGCGTGTGGGGGCGGGGCAGGCAGGGGGCCTGACTGAGGATCCCACTGCACCTATGGGCCAGATCCAGCCAGATCCAGGGGCCGTAGTTTGCTTGGCCGTGGTTTAGATATAGAAACCTTCCGGGAAGAGACTTGCAAACCATGTGTCTGTACAATGCCTTGCACAGTGCAGCCTGGTCTACATGCTCTAGTACAATACCAGTGCTAAATAATAACAACAGAGATTAATATTTTTGATCTGGAATTTAAATGTGCAAGTGATGCCTTTTTTGAACATCAACTCAACATGCCCATTATTTCATTCTGCTTTTTTCCTTCTAGGTAATGTGACCAGGAACTGTACAAGCCAAGGCTGGGCTGACATGTATCCTGCCCCCTATGCAGTAGCTTGTGGATATGATGCCAACAGCACTCCAATCGAAGAGGTCTGTATAGCCCTGAGGGGTAGAATTCAATAGGGCTGTTTCCTCTAGGGTGCATAGAGAAATCCCCTGGCCCCTCACCTCATTGTTCCCTTTCACTCCTTGGCCCTCAGGGTCAAACAAGAAGGTCCTGACCGAGTTCATCTGGAAATAGAGCTGAAGTATTCCTGATAGTTAGGTTTGCCAGATACTTTCACAAAAAATCCCGAACGTGGCAGGAAAAAAAATTGGTTAAACAAACAAACAAACAAACAAAAAGGAGCCAAAGTTGTTGAGCAAAAAATAAAAAGTTGCCGCACCTTTAAATATCCCCGTGTTCCTTGCTCCCCCCACCCTCATCAGATGCGGCAGGGGAAAAAAGTTCCTGCCAGCCTTCTGTCCGACAGAAACAGAAAATACCAGACATTTGATATGGGGTTTTTTTAATGGACAGAGGCCAGAAATAATGGACTGTCCGGGATACAGATACAGACTAACACAGAGGATCCTCCGAGACACAGTATTTGCAGCATTCCCTAAATGTCCTACACTTACAGGGGCTGCTGAAGGTGTACGTTGTCACAGGTCTATTGACATCAGTGGAGTTATGCTGATTTATGTTAGCCATGGATCTAGGAAGCTCTAGGGAATACATCGGGCATGGCAAATACTCGAGTAGCATTATTTCGTTTTCTAAGAAAACTGACATGTTTAAGAGTGAGTAATTAACAACGACATATCATTAATATAAGTGTGTGTGTGTGTGTGTGTGTGTTACATAGGAATTATACAGACCAATATGGAGCATTGCACTGTATATGCAGGGACCGATGGTCTCTACATGCCACACCTCTTGTGTTAAAAGTGAGGGAGGTCACATATAACGCACTGAAGATGTCCATGTGCAGCATTTTACCAAAGGGTTGAATATTGGCCCTCCCTGGAATAAGTCAATCAGTATCAGCTGATAGCTCAGGGATAGCTCAGTGGTTTGAGCATTGGCCTGCTAAATCCAGGGTTATGAGTTCAATCCTTGCGGAGGGGGTTTGGGGCAAAAAAATTCATCAGGGATGGTACTTGGTCCTGCTGTGAAGGCAGGGAACCGGACTTGATGACCTTGCAAGGTCCCTTCCAGTTCTAGGAGATAGGCAATCTCCCTTATTACATTATAGCCTACACAGGGAGATATGGATTGAGCATTTCAAAGCTGCCTAGGAGAGGTAGCCATCTAACTCCCATTGAAATTAACAGGAGCTGTGTGGCTAAATCCCCTCGTTAACTTTGAAGTTCTTAGCATTGGGGCCGGTTGGCATGCTGTACTCCCAACACGTGAGACAGGACTGGATCCTTGCTTTTGTGTCACCTAAACACAGCTCCACTGTGTGCATGTCTTTCCCCTCATTGCAGGATGCTGAGTAATACAAGTATCTCTATATTGAAAGACACTTGTATCCACTCCATACTGTTCCTAAGTCTCTCCCAGTATTCCCACATTACAGGGACAATCAAGCGATCACATGGAAAATCTCAAGAGGGCTTAGCCCGCCTTAATAATGGACAGATCAGAAAATCCTAAAGAAGTGTTGAACAAAAAACATCAATGCCTATTGAAGTGGGAGCTTTAGTCAGCTGCTGGGGCCAGCCACGACTTCGCCTCTTCGAGGGGTTTGTTTCTAAGATCAAAATCTAAGGCCTGGGCTTCACCTTTTGAAACCCATT